ATTTCAAATTAAAGTAATATTAAATGATTAATTACACTATTCAATTAATATTTAAAATTAATTCAAATCTCAATCTCAATCAATTTCGATATATATTTGATTAAAATATTTAAATCTTATTTAAATTTCTCACATTCTCTATTTTTGTTTAATTCATAAATAAAACAAAAATGCGGTTAAATATATTGTATATATGTAGAGCATATTCCTTAATTTGAATTCGAACACTTCGAACTCACTCGTCACACTATTCTATGGTTTAGTCCGATATGAATCTCATAGTGTGAATTTTCCAGAGAGCGTAAAAGAAAAACGATGTATCTCGTATACCTTTTTCCTCCCACTAAGTATTTTAGACGGTTGGGTATACTTATTACTTAGGTATATTCCGACTAATTAAATATAACTTAAGTCTAGGTGATTTTTCTAAAACTTAAATCACTTCAGCATGCTCATAAAACTAGGCTAACTAAACTCAAGTACTGGTCCGATCTCTAGGTAGTAGGTGTACCGTAAACCATTAACTTAAGTACCTCAAGCCTTAGACAAGATCGTGCCAGGTGAGCTTTCTCGTAATCGCAATTTTGTAAAACATCGACCTATTTTAACAATTAAAATTGATCGTGCTCTGTTCTTGACCCTAAGTGAGCATGCACTTATCTTTATTATAGATTTTAACGTCTATCTCGTTTTAAGACGTTGAAAATAACCTATAACATGCATCTAACATGCTTTATATAACAATTATATAATAATCCATTCAATGTAAGATAGCAATTTATATCTATTACTCATGGAACCCTAAACATGCATACTATACATCATAACAGTTATAACATACTTGGAATGCATGAAACATGTTTAGCTTATGGTGGGATTTTAAATCTATATGACATACTTTATGCATATACATTTTCTATTTAATTAAAACATACATTCATAATGCATAATTAATTAAACACGCTAAAGTGGATTAGTTTTTGCATTTTAAAACAAGCAATTAAATAAATTATTACATTAAAAATTAAAAATAACTTGAACCGCTCCCAAGGATCACGAACTAGGCGAACTAACCCTTAAAAACGTTGAACCAGACCCCAAAGGTAGAGAAACCACCCGAACTGCCTCTTCCATCTTCTACTTCGGTTCAGCTTGCTATCTCTCCATTTTCGATCAATTACAACCTAAAATGGACTTTAATGGCTCCATAAAAATTACAGACATTTCTTCATTCATTAAAGCCCATACACATTAGGCTTATTACAATAATTGTACGAAATGGAAGTATAAAAAAATGTCAAAACCAAAACCATCCACTTTAGCAACCACAAAATTTCATTCATGAAATGGTACCCACCATGATCAAATTAATGTAAATAAAGTGCCTAAAACTTGCTCTGATACCAATTGATGGTGTTAATATAACACATGCGGAAGCAATTTGGATCTTAGGCACTTTTAGAACATCAATTATAGTAAATAACTAGCATGTTCATAAGTATTAAAACTTAATTAGTTTGAATACTAATCTTTTGTAGTTCAAATTTCTTTTTCCTCACGAACCGATTTCGAACCACCAATAGTGTCTTCTCCACTATCCTCCAGCCTTAAAACGGGATTGTGGAATCCGGTGAGTGACTGAACTTGAGAGGAATTTTGTATATATGAAGAGAGTGTTTGTGAGAGGTTTTTCTCAAGGGTTTTTCACAAAGATGAAGATCTTTCATGTTTTATGATCACTCTATTTATAGAGTCATGTTTGCATGTTCATGCAAATTTGAGATCAACAAATTTTGATACTCAAAATTTCACTCAAATTTGTGAGGTTTATTTGGAAAGCATGCAAGTTTAGTTAAACCAAATTTTGACACTTCAAAATTCCACTAACATGGATTTTTTCATTAAATAAAAGTCAACATTTTGACTTTCTTCATTTTGATTGAACAATCCATTTGAATTATAAATTTCAAATTAAAGTAATATTAAATGATTAATTAAACTATTTAATTACTATTTAATATTAATTCAAATGTCAATCTCAATTAATTCGACACATATTTGATTAATATATTTAAATCTTATTTAAATATCTCAGATTCTCTCTTTTTGTTTATTTCGTAAATAAAACAAAAATGCGGTTAAAAATATCGTATATATGTAGCGCATTCTCCCCTAATTTGAATTCGAACACTTTGAACTCACTCGTCACATTGCTCTATGGTTTAGTCCGATATGAGCTAGCAGAGGGACCTGATGGACCTATAGATCATGGGCTCCAACGATCCAAGATTAACCGGTTAAACTCATTAACTTTGTTAACCAACATTCGTTAACTACTAGAACATTCCACTATAGCCTAGTAGTTTCACTCCCCTCACTATAGATATATTTCTGTCCATTTGATATAACCATGATTAGTAAGTCGATCCTTCACAGGTTGTTCGTAACTAGAGCTGGGTCAATTTACCGTTTTACCCCTGAAGCTACTTCTTGTTTCTTATGTCTCACTAATTCTCTAATGAACAATTGGTTTGTGGTCCAACCAGTAAACTGAATCCCTCTTAGGCCAATGAGAGGGTGGGACCCCTTGTTCAAGACCTGGAGTCAATACTTAAGAGAACTACCTCTCTTATATCCCTAAAAGTGGGTAGGAGTGAATTCCATCTTGCACCCCACGTCCCCAGCCATTTAACCAGTCTTACCCCTGAAATGGGAGGCTTATTGAGTCGGCGAACTTGAGCCACTCTCACCCATGAAAATCTAAGGATAATTCCGAATAAACAGGAGTTCATGGTTAGCTCAGGATTAAGATCTAGTTACCTAGGTCATCAAATGAAAAGAAAATCAGTCTCAACAGTAAACGACATTATAAAGTGAGAGTGATTTTCTTCATGGTCTGATCTTATTCAATAATCATTGCATAGGACGCCCCCACTCACATGTCTCCACATGTATAATTTTAGTGATCACATTGTTTATATTATATACAAAAGTGGGCCGCATCCATAGTGTCCCATAATAAGGTACTCAGCCTTATCCTTATACTATAGATCATTTTGACTATATACTTGAACTTGATCAACTCTTATGTCTCTTCATGATAAAACTGACTTGACTCTTCTCATCAATGACATCTCCATTTTCTTCTGCCACATTGAAATGGACCATGATGTCCAGGACATGTTATCTAACTGAGGTCCCTTCTTTCATACGGTAGTTGTAAATGTATTTTATGGCGTCATGTCTAAGGGAGAAGAACGGTTGTCCAAACATCCATTTCAGAGATTCCCTAATCTCTTTAGTAGTACCCATGACGTTGTGTTTCTTAGCCAAAACATCAGATAGGCTGGCTAAAATGTACACTCGGGCTTTGTCATTTGCCTTTGTTCATTTGTCATATGCATCATGAACTGTTCTGTTTGCATTTGAGCTGGGGTTTGGAGGACATTCCTCAGTTAAAACAAACCTCAAATCATCAATTACAAGTATTGTGTTTTGGTTTGATTTCCAAGTTGCGTAATTGTCGCCATATAATTTCTCAAAATCGAGTAATTGTACTATTGAGTTTGTCATTGTGTGATATAAAGAAAATTCTATTAGTGATTTGATTTAATCCTGTTTAATCCAATCAAGTTTAGCAAATGTAATAATGTACCTTAAAATTATTAATTTGCAACGATACTTTAGTAAGTTAGAGCAATTTCTACCGAGGGGTAGTCAATCACTCAACTAAACCAAGACATTCTTGACTTAAACACTAATCCCAGAATAACTCTTGTTTCTATAGTGTTTTAGTTATCACTATTTTGGTCAAGAATATACTAACTCTTAGTAATTCTTCGTAAGTGTGACCCACCAATTTCAGACCTCAGAGATCGGTCCCAACAATGCTATCGAAAATAAAAAAACCAAAGTTGGGAATGAATCTAAGAAATCCTATCCATTTTTGAAGTTTGTGTTGTTTCGACTCCCATGTTATGACCCTCCGAATGGGTAGTTGCTCTAGGGCAACATGCAAGCAGAACATGGGAATCTCACAGTGCAACCTAGTGGTGGAGACCATAGGACGTGTTGATATACTTCCTTCTCCCACTTACTACAAATATTTTCTCTATTAACCTTGTTATTGACTTATGCAAATACTTTATGAATGGAGGACACTCCTAGGGCGACACGAGGTCGAGCATGAATCTCACGGTGTGAATTTTTTAGAGAGCGTAAAATGAAAACGATGTATCTCATATACCTTTTTCCTCCCACTAAGTATTTTAGATGGTTGGGTATACTCATTACTTAGGTATATTCCAGCTAATTAAATATAATTAAGTCTAGGTTTTTTTTCTAAAACTTATATCACTGAAGCATGCTCATAAAACTTGGCTAACTAAGGTCAAGTACTGGTCCGATCTCCAGGTAGTAGGTGTTTCGTAAACCGTCAACTTAAGTACCTCCAGTCTTAGACAAGATTGTGCCAGGTGAGCTTTCTTGTAATAGCAATTTTATAAGACATGGATCTATTTTAACTATTAAAATTGATTGTGCTTGGTTCTTAACCTAAGTGAGCATGCACTTATCTTTATTATAGACTTTAACGTCTATCTCATTTTATGACGTTGAAAATAACCTATAACATGCATCTAACATGCTTTATATAACAATTATATAATCATCCATTCCATGCAATAATATAACAATTTATATCTATCACTCATGGAACTCTCAACATGCATACTATACATAATAACACTTATAACATACTTGGAATGCATGAAACATGCTTAGCATATGGTGGGATTTTAAATCTATATGACATACTTTATGCATATACATTTTCTAATGAATTTTAAAACCTCACTGCCAGAATGCTCATGATGAACCAAAATAGGTAATGAATTTTATGAGCATTCTGGCAGAATTGAATAAACCATGAGTGCTCGTAATTTTGGCCTATCTTACCTAAGGGGTCTAGTTGTTTGGGCTCCAAGAAGAAAGATAAAGAAAAGAACAAAACAAGCGAGAGAGAGAAAGGAGAAAGGAGAAGAAGTTAGGGTTTGGGAGAGAGGAAGAACAGAGAAGACAAACCGCCATTGGAGATCGAATCCAAGGCAAGAAACTTCGAAGCAATACTTCTCTCAGTGCTGGAAAAGGAGTTTGGGTGGTGGATTCCCTCATTCCGGCAAGAATATCTGATAACGGACAAAGTAAGTTTCCGATCTTCTTGTTTCGATTTTATCTAGATTTGAGGAGTTTCTTGAGGGTTAGATCTAGAGTTTTTAAGGTAGGTAACTAAAATAAGATTCACACAGGTTTCTTGAAGTTCCTGGACGAGAATCAGACGAAAATCGTTGTTTAGTCGGACTTCGGGTAAATCGATCGAAAGTAGAAAATGTGAGTTTTTCCATATCTTTGGACGACCTTAACTCATCCTGTGTTCAAGGAAAAAATAAAGAAAAAATATATTGTAGAAGTAAAATATGAGATCTACAATTTTCATGAAGAAACTTTGTTGATATGGATTACAGACTGAAAGATAAGAAAATTCAAAGAAAATAGATCGAAAACGCAAAAACGCTCACATCTGGAAATTTGAAACACACGCAGGAGAGAGAAAGAGACCGCCACGCGTCGACCAGCGAACGGAAGAGTGCGGTGGAGCCGACGTGTGTCACGTGGCAGCGTTCCACTGGTGCGCTGAGTCGAGTCGACTCGTACACTCGCCAAACCAGTCTGGAAACCTGCGGTCCAACCCGACGTTTCTCGTCAAACACTGTGCGCCACGTGTCGCGCTTAGAAAATTTGAAGGTAAGTCCGCGACCGCTAGGGTTCGAAACGCGGCATTGCGCGCACGTGGAGGCTGCGCATGTGGGCGTGTGCCGACACGTGTGGGGACCTACTGGCGCATGCACGATGCATGGGGCTCCATTCTCTCACTCGCTTGGCCTCTGTTTTCTTGTTTTTCGCCCCGATTTCAACTCTGATCCTATTTTTATGTGAATTAGAACCTATCAAGAAAATTCTAAACTTTTTGGGACCTTTTCCGGCAAATAAATTCTAGCTTGGGAAGGCACGCGTCAACCAAGTAAGTAGTCCTTTGGATTCCCATGAGTAGTACTTGTAGGAACTGCTAGAAACAAGCATGCATGCTACCACCCATAAACTTAGCTAGCAAGACCTAACATATTAGTATGGAAGCTGGGAAAATGAAATGATTAAGGAAAGCTAGATATGAAATGTTTATTAAATCTATTGTGATTAAGATTCTGATAAAGTATGTATGCATGAGGAGGATGGAAAACTCGTGAAATCTGCGCTCCAGGTAAAGATGGACATTATCTTCCAGTTGAGCATGTTTGTTAATATTGCATGAACTGCTCCGTGTTAACTCCTATGGTTTAGTCTGATATGAGTTAGCAGAGGGACCTAATGACCCTATAGATCATGGGCTCCAACGATCCAAGATTAACTGGTTAAACTCATTAATATTGTTAACCAACATTCGTTAACTATTAGGACACTCCACTATAGCCTAGTAGTTGCACTCCCCTCACTATAGATATATTTTTGTCCAATTGATATAACCATGATTAGCAAGTCGATCCTTCACAGGTTGTTCGTAACTAGAGCTGAGTCAATTAGTCGTTTTACTCCTGAAGTTACTTCTTGTTCCTTATGTCCCACTGATTCTCTTATGAACTATTGGTTTGTGGTCCAACTAGTAAACCAAATCCCTCTCAGGCCAATGAGTGGGCGGGGCCCCTTGTTCAAGACCTGAAGTCAGTACTTAAGGAAACTACCTCTCTTCTATCCCTAAAAGTGGGTAAGAGCGAATTCCATCTTGCACCCCACGTCTCCAGCTATTCACCCAGTCTTACCCCTGAAATGGGAGGCCTATTGAGTCGGCGAACTCGAGTCACTCTCACCCGTGCAAATCTAAGGATAATTCTGAATGAACAGGAGTTCATGGTTAGCTCAGGATTAAGATCGAGTTACCTAGGTTATCGAATGAAAAGAAAATCAGTCTCAATAGTAAACGACATTATAAAGAGAGAGTGATTTTCTTCATGGTCCGATCCTATGCAATACTCATTGCATAGGACGCCCCCACTCACATGTCTTCACATGTACAATTTAATGATCACATTGTTTATATCATATACAAAAATGGGTCGCATCCATAGTGTCCCTAGAATAAGGTACTCAGCCTTATCCTTATACTATAGATCATTTTGACTATATACTTGAACTTGATCCACTTTTATGTCTCTACATATTCTTAGTTTATTGGATTTAGATTAATGAACGTAAAGTTCACTTTATTCAATAACAATCTTTACTGAATAAACATCAATAATAACTTTATTGAAAATAGAAAATGTCTTTGTTTACAAACTATGAGTTTTAGAACATAAAACCCAACAGTGTGACAGGTGCCCAAACCTAGTGGTGATAGCTAAAGGGTCTTCTGAACAAGACCCCTGGGCCGTAGAAACCCGTCCCTGAGTGGGGGGACGTAGAGCCACGTAGGATGACTCAGGAGGTGACCAACACACAGGGGGTCGCAACCCGAATTTAGTGGATGTATGGTCCCGTGTGAGGGTTGTCAGCTAACCTCCACTGATGATGTTCAGAGAGAGTCACGTATTCAGATCTAGCCATACGATCCCTTAAGATTTACTTATGAGGTCGCGCCTCACCTCAGGATGCTGATCATTTCATTGCATAAAATGGGCAAGCCTCCTAAGATACAGAAAAGAGAGTTGTAGCGTGATTCATACTCACTAGAACCTAGAGATAAGACCGTGGATACCTACTAAGATAAGGATGCGAAAAGAGCTTACAAGTAGGTTGCTTACTGAGTATATTTTTATACTCACCCCTTTCTCCCTTTTTTTTCTGGTACTAGTCGATATGGGGAGGTGTTCGAGAGCTGCACTGTCACAGAGGGGTGTCATTCCAGAGCGTCAGTCTCTTGTCGGTCTTTTAGAGTCCATTGTCCATTTTTTTAGGCTCTTTTGTATTTTCTTCATAATTGTATTTCTCGTTCGAAATATTTGATTTTAGTTTTGTATTTAATTTTCGTGTCGTTGACTCCTTTTTCTTGTTTTAAATTTTATCAAATTTTTATCTCTTATTTCATCTTCTTTTTAATTTCATTTGTTTTCGCTTTCTTCTTTTTAGTCACGATTCGATTTATTGAAGCCTCGAAAATCGAGTCGTGACAGATTGGTATCAGAGCAGTCAGGTTTTAGATTCTGTCGACTTTATTTTTAGGATAGAGAGTCGTACATCTCTGTGACTCTGTAACGACCCTAAAATTTTACTTATTTAATCTAAGGTCATTACTATACCTTGAAATGCGGAATATACATTAAATGGCCCATGTACATAAATGCAACTTACACTCGCCTTTTATTACCTCGTGAAAGAGAATTACAAGGGAAAGAAAGGAAAAGAACATTAAACATTATTGAGATAAAGGAAAAGGAACAAAACCAAAATGAATGTTTTATTCTACCCTATGGTTTATTACGCAAATACAAATTAACCTATACTAACCTATACTAATGATGCAAACCGAATTCAACCTAGACTATGAAATGGAAAAACAACTACCCTATGCATGTGCCACGGTCCTGAGGTGTACGATGCCGCCGTCGATGTCACATGGGTGCCTTGCCCTTATCTGAAAAAGTAAAGTAGCATGAGGCTTGAGTATTTCTAGAATACTTAGTAAGTGACCCCCTATCGAGTTATGCAACAATCACATGCAATGAAATGATGGGACCTATCGTTTTGTTTCATTTCTCCTACGGTGCAGTCCTAACGGGTAATCGTGGATGTGTACCATATACTCTACACACAACCCATACGTGCGAGTATGGGCTCACCTACTAGTTCGCACACCGCTGGGCCACTGTCCTTATCCAGTGGGCATACTCTAGGAGCCCCTTATGCTAGGATCCGTTAAAACTAGAACCGTCATGGCAGCGCTATGCAATGCATAACGATCGTTGTCCTGCCATTGGATGTATGCGTCCGTACCCTCATGATGGGATGGGGGTATCCCCTAGATGCATGAACACACATAATGCATGAGGTCCCCCTATTTCTACATTTATCTTTAATGACCATAACCCCCCTGTCACGTTCCATGCTTTATGTCATTCTCATTTTCAATTCACATTTCATACACATTTCTATCGGAGTTATGATTCTAGACATTTTACCGTGTTTCAAGTCATACAATTTATGCGGTTCACATTTACATATTCCATACAAACATGCCATAATCATTCAAGGACCACATATCGTCACATGCATTAACATATCACATCAAACTAAGCGCCATACATAGCATACATTCACGTTCGCATGATTTAATACTTAAGCACATTAAACTAGCATACAATTTAATGACACGTGCAAATCCACGAGCAAGTGTCAACATACAGCAAATAATGCGTGAGCTACGATGGGTGAGCCACTTACTTGGTAGGCTTTAGCCGAAGTACTCCCTAGAATATAACGTAAGCTCCTAGCTCCTCGTGAACGTTCTACGCTTCCATTGGTGATCGGTTCCTATTGGTTCATTCGTAACTTTCGTTAGTATTTCACAAGTATAATTAATTCCCAACTTGAATTTGGGAAATACTAACTTAAAATGTTCTATTTTACCATAAATAGGGCCGAAACTAAGTCCGGGAGGGTCGAAACGGTGACAAACGGGCTGGAAATAGGTTTCCCAAGCTGAATAAGCCGTCGGAGCCGAGAAATTATCACCGAGCCGATTGAGCCGCCGGAGCCCAGGGGAGTCGCGCTGTAGACGTGCCACGTGGCAAAATCAGAGAGCGACACGTGTGCAGGGGGTCCGGGTCGAGGCGCGGGTTTTCAGATTGCTCACGGGTTTTGGGTCATACGCGGGTGACGGGCCATTTACGGGTGATGGGTTGTTCGCGGGTGATGGGCCGTTCGCGGGTGACAGGCCATTCGCAGGTGTTGGGTCATTCGTAGGTGACAGGTCGTTCGCGGGTGAAGGAAAAATGTAGGCGAGCTAGGCTTATGAGCTTTGGGCTGACCTGAGGGGACTAGCTTCGGTTTGGGTTACGGGATCCGAGCCTCGGGCCGGACTTTGTCCTCTTTGCTCGACTGCCTGCATATTTTTTCGGCGACCTTTCTCTCTCCTCGATAACGTCGTCTCGACGTCCTTTTCTCCTCCTTTTTTCTCCGTTCCCGTGTCTCTTCTTCACTCTAACCCCATTTTCGGTACAGATTTCTTTTGTAAGGGCCTCACACTCCCAGATCTAGAGAAGTTCGAAAGTCCAACGTTCCGTCTTCCTTTCCGATTGTGTTCAACGTAAATGATTCATCTAAATCTACTCATGATGGGTGTAAAAGGTTATGGGATTACTTTTGTGAGGTAAAGTGGAGGTTTTGACG